AGTTGCTTTACTTTCTTGTCAAGTAGACAACCTACCAAGTTGGTCATTTTGGAGATTAAAATAGTAAACAGTATCCTCCTCCAAGTCCTATAAATAGACCCAATCAGCTACAAGAAAAAAGACCAAGTAGAATAGGAAGAGTTAGATAAAAATACAAAGGAGTTTGTAGAAGCATCTAAGGTGGCAGGTTCTACCTGCTACTTGGGAAAGTGAGAAGACTCACTCGAGGGAGTGACGGTGACAACAACAAATTTCCTAAGTTCTTCTTTCCTTCTCTTAATTGTTTTCTTGTTTTGTATTGATGTTAAATGCTTAGAAATGCATCCTTGTGTATTTGTATCCGTAGTTATGTGTAGCTAAATTTTCTCTAGGATCTAATCCCTCTTATCTTTACAAGCATGTTTTGGTAATACTCCTATATGATTTATTGCTCCTAGTTAGTGCTTTAATTAACTTTTTAATTAACTTGACCACTTAATTAAATGTGCTTGCATGGTTATGAAGACCTGGAAGGGGGAGCATAACCTTATAACTACTTAATCTAGTCTATGACAAAGGAGGAAATCTATCATTTGGTTTCAATCATCAACGAGAGTTAGGTGCATTGGCATAGGTGATCATATGAGGCTTAAGAACTCAATAGTTTAGGTTAATGAATTACTCTGACCGGAAGGTAGGTAATTTCGATAATCTAGGACTCTTTATTCTATCTGGAATGAATTGTAAAGAATATATGTGCCTGATCAAGCATAGATCATCTGGCAAAAAGAGCAAATAAAACCATAACACAATTGTATAGAGAGGAGTGGAAGATGACCTTAGGTTCTTTTTCTATTTTCTATTCTGTTTGCTCACTCTGACAAGTGACATTTCTCACTCGCCAAAGTGACAATTCAATATTCTATTTCCATTTTACTATCTTCACTATCTTTTTCTTGAATTGTTTGGGTTATTTAGATTCACTGTCATCCCTGTGGATTCGACCCGACTTACTGCTACATACAGTATTAAGTTGGTAAATTTCTTTGGTGGATTCGACACTCACCACATTACTATTGATTTTAACGCCCAGATCTAAGAAGAGATGTATCTCTAATGTGATGGCTGACGATAACACTTGCTGGTATAGTATAAAGAGATAAACAGAGAGTGGACAACGCCATTAAATTGGATGGAATAGGTCATCGAATTTACATAATGTATAATTAGAGAAATCAGATGGGAGGGAATCTGACTTTTAATCAAAACCTATTGTAAGAAGGACTAAGAAACTCTGTCATATGATTTGCTAACTGATTTCATTATAATCTCTTAAATGCTTCTTGCAAAGTTTACTTCAGCCAGCCCAAGATAATTTCTCAACCACACATATAAAATTTACTCCCTCCATCTTGAACTGGTCGTATAGTTTGAAGTTTCATTTTTAGTACAAATTGTATTAGGATTGAAAATCAAATCTGGACAATAATTTTGGGACAAAAGGGATATCATAATTGATGGATGGTAAATGATGCTTGTAGAGAATTGACTTGATTTAAAAGAATTTCTACAAAATCAAATGAGAAACAACATTTACAATGACAAAAATAATGCAGAAGAAAATCAGCCTGAAGCCGTTAAAAAGCAAAAAAAATGACATTATTGATGAAATTGGTATACCATAAATCCATTGGCTGGATTGGATGATTTGAACAGGACCTTTATTTGTATAAGAACCAAAGAGCTAAGAAACTTAAAAGGGTTATAAACAAGTGGCAGCCATAAGATTCATTGATTTATTAGCAAATCGAGTGAACCGTGCATCTGAACAACATCTTACTAGAGTACTAGGAGAAGGTGATGTACAACTAGAGATCGAACGAAGACAAAGTGTCGATCATTTCAAAAATCATACACGCAGTAAGTTGGTAAGACCCAACACTTATTTTCAAATTTCATCTTGTCAGTGAAAAAAAGAAGTACCAAAGCAGAACCAGAAACAACACAAGAACTATCATGCAGAACTTTTTAATAACCACATGTTCTGAGTATTAAAACCATGTTACGAACAAAAATAACATTAAGAAAATTTACCACATAACTACCCAAAATGGGCCACTATTTTTCTCCTTCATTAGTTCAGATGACTTTTTTCTTTCAACATACACATGTATGCCAATAGAGTCTAAAAATCTTGAAAAAACATAATTCAATTTATATAGACACTAATGGCAATTCAGAATTCAAACGTACAAATTGTAAATGCGATTCCATCGGATGTAAAATAACTTGAAATAATTTCGCAAATAGGTAAAGAACAAAATACTCTTAAGCATTAATAATAACTTGTTGCTTTTATCTTTCATAAATTAATTCCGCGTGTACAACTCGTAGAACAACATAAATGTGCTCAGCATTTTAACGGCAAATAATATTAAGATCTTAGGCACACCTTGCAAGGTGTACCTAGGCAGTGCGTGAATCACACACAAGGGAAAAGCAATTGGAATTTTTGAGCCTGGGTAAAATGAGTCCACACGCGCATTTAATCACCCAATTTTATCCCCCTTTTTTGGTATTTAATCCCGTAATCTTATCCCTTTTTTTTAGCATTTAACTCCCTGATCTTATCCCTTTTTTTTGGCACTCGATTAATTTCAATTTTTTTTATTTGCTTATCATGTTAGCTTTTATATTATTTTATTTTATGAGATAATTTTTTTATAACCATGGATTTTATTTTAGTAAAATTGACTATGGTTAATCATTGAGACTTATGAATATGGAGAATCAATGTGTATTTTCTCAGTAATGAATAACCAACGTTTAGACAATGAATAATGTTATGCAATTATTGAAAGATGATTGATGTAGAATGTATTCGTTTTATTGATGAATATACATGCGTAAGGTAATGCGTATTATATGGTTAATGATGAACATGAATTTCATTGTTATTTTCTGACCGATGGTGTATTATCTTATTACGTTTTTATGATGTATATCTTACGTTAATTAATGAATAACGAGTTCTTATCGATGAATAATTGGACGATGTTTCAACTCTGAGGAAGAGACTTTTGCTGCTTATAGTTCTAGCGCATTGTTTTTCAATAAAAAGGTTCAAAAATTGGAAAATGTCCAAATCTGGTGTTTTATATTGGAAACAATTTGCATACAGCAAACAAGGAGTAAAAAATTCATGAGGTAGATGATATACAACAATAAATAATTATACCAAACTGATGAATACGACAATTTCAACAATGAATAATTATACCAAACTGATGAATACGGTAATTTCAACAATGAATAATTATACCAAACTGATGAATAATACAAAGATCTACTAATTTACCAAAAAAATAATACTAGTTTACAAAACTGCCGAATAACCCTCTATATCAATGTCTACACTTATTGTGGTTTGGTCTTTTTGCAGATTCAGATATCCTGCTTCTTTCGGCTTCTGATTGTTGTTCTTCGCTCATGCTTCTTTCAGATTCTGTCTGATATTCTTCGCTCATGCTACAATATGTTTACAAATTCCATGAATAACTTGTCAGATGTGAAGAATTTTTTTACCAAAAATACAATACTACATAGTTATAGTTAACGATGAATCCGACAATTTCAACAATAAATAATTACACCAAACTGATGAATAATACAAAGATCTAGTAATTTACCAAAAAAAAAATACTATATAGTTATGGTAAACGATGAATCTGACAATTTCAGCAATGAATAATTATACCAAACTGATAAATAATACAAATATCTACAAATTTACCAAAAAAATAATACTACATAGTTATGGTAAACGATGAATCTGACAATTTCAACAATGAATAACTATACCAACCTGATGAATAATACAAAAATCTACCAATTTTCCAGAAAAATAACATCCAATAGAAGAACAAAACTCTAAAATTGATGAACAAACATCGTCAATCGAGTGAATATACCTTACATCTACAGAACCAAAAAAAAAAAAAAAAACCAATGGTTGAATACGAAGAAAACTTTAAACTTTGATGAACAGATATGCATAATCGAATGCATTTACAGTAAATTTACAAAACCCATCAAAAACGCATCAATAGTCCAAAAGATTAATAGTATTACCTTCGTTCATCTTCACTTTCCGAACTGCTTCTGTTCGGTTCAGATCCTCAATCGGTGGTTTCTGCGTGGATGAATTTTGTTCATATATGACCTTAAATCGCATCTTGAACAGAGTGGAATTTTCACAATTTTCACTGGATTTGATACACAATCTGATTTCGTCCCAAAAAATTCAGCCGGCGAGAGGTTTCTGGCCAAATCGCTGTAGAGAAAATTTAGTTTTTTAGTTTTTTTTTTTGGTTTGAGACGGATTGTGATGAATGGGGTGAAAGATGGATATGATTAATGGCTGAAAATTAAGAAGAAATAGTGGGATTTGAAATTCTAAAAATTCCATAAAATGGAGAATTAAATGGGATTGCTGTAAATATTGAGAAATGTCTATTTTGGGTCGCGTGAGACTCACACTAGGTACATCTTGCTAGGTGTAAGATCCCTATATGATAATTGGCATTCTAACCTGTTCACATTACTAAAAATCATATTTACAGTATATAATCATAACTGATCAAGTTCTTCTTAATCAACAGTAACCGTAAGAGATGGGAAAAGAACGAAAACATAAATAGTTACTAGTCCGAACGAACCAGCAGGCTATGCCACTATGGTGTAGAAACAAAACACCAAGAGATTGTACAGCATACTAAATTAGCTAACTCCACCTCTAACCAGTTCAATCACCAAGAACACTGACAAAATTCGATGAGGTAGCAAACTGATAGAAAGGTTTTTTGGTCTTTTGACTTCATCAACTTCTCTATGCTTCAGATATTGTGGAATAGGTTGACAATTAGGCATCAATAAATGTCCTTTTAGATAATCATGTGCTGATGGCCAGCTCCAGAATAAGAACTCATATGCTCTGATGTGCAAATTAATGCCCACCTTATTCAGTCAAAAACTCTTTCTCCAGTAGAAAATAGCATAAAAACAAAAGAGCTCAATACACAAAGAAGGCCAGGGATTGAAAATACTGCTTTCCAGCTATCTGGGCTAGTTAGGTCTAAGTTAGATGCTTTAGCAGCTTCCAAGAGTCGGCCAGTAAGATCTACACCTACTATCCCAGCTAAAGTACCAGCTGTATTAGAAACCCCCATCACTATCCCAGCATATCTCGGAGCAATATCCATATGGTTAACGGCGAATCCAGCTCTTCCCAAAGCCAAGAAGCCAAGAGCCACAGAAGAACAAAACACAACTCCATCTGATGTTCTGAAGTAAGGAAGAGTCACCAGGGAAATAGAAGCAACAAGAAATCCAACAGTATTTAAAAGTTTTCTTGTTTTAGTGATAGAGAGAATTCGCCTTGTGATCAAGTGATCAGCAAGCACCCCACCAATATTTGAAAACACAAACATGTTAAAATAAGGCATCATCTTTAAAGAACCCATTTCTTGAAGACTAAGCTGAAGACCTAATTCAAAGTACGTAGGAAGCCAGTTCATAAGAACATAAAGAGCATAATGAAAAGTGAAATTGTTCACAACAATCGCCCACACAGGAAGACTGAGGGTAATTTTCTTCCAAGGAATGCTTTGAGTTCTAACTGAATGTCCTCCATTTTGTAAGTTTGTCTTTTGATGCCCTTTCACAGGTAAAAGGGTCTCCCCAAAACCAGCAGCAGTTGCTTTTGGATGCTCAGATCTTGGTGGATCACTGGAATACTTGTACCAAAGTATAGACCACCAGGCACCTAGAGCAGCTTCAGCCAGAAATACAGATTGAGGACCCCAAAACTTCACAACGCTAGGAAGAATGAGCATTCCAGCTGCAGCACCAAAATACATTCCAGACGTAGTAAGAGATACTGATCTTGATCTCTCATGTGGAGGCACCCACTGTGCAAGCACAGTGTGTATAGAAGGAAATATGAATCCCTGAGCCACACCAACAAGCAAGCGAGCAATAACCAACAGCAGTACTTGGTTTGGATCTAGTGGTACCAAGGCACAAGTGGCAGACCACAACACGAACGAAAGAAGGAGAACTCGCCTACCCCCAACTTTTTGAGCTGCCCAACCACCAGGTACTTGGGAACAAGCATACCCATAATAGAATGTAGAAGTATCATGCCTTTGCTTGTTTGATTTACATTTGCAGCATCAGCTGCAATTGTGTAAGCTATAGAAAAACCCACGCGTTCTATGTAACAGACAAAAGTGCAGATAAAAGTCAAAAGTACGATCCCATAACGTTTAGGAAATTTCGAGAATCCCATCGTTTTTTCAGTTTAATGGATATCAATCAATCATGCCCTGGTGACTTAATTTATTGTTATCGATCCAGTACTTCAGAAGCTGTAACCCAATTACTCCAAAAGCAACAAGTGAAATGCCGTGACCAACTAAAATCCTCGTATATCTGGGCAGAATCTGGAGATGGACAGTTTAAACAACAAATTATCACGTGCTTCTCGAAAAACAGACCAATAAATTCATCAAACCTAAAAATAGAATCCCAGAAACAGCAAAAGCCTAGTTCATGGTGGTCATGAAATGAAAAATTGTTGAAAGTTTAGACAAATATGCTTGACTACCTTAAATTAGGATATTTAGATTGGAAGATGCACATCCACATTTTGTTTTAAACTCAAATTCACCAACACTCTGGGATTAGAAAGCTAAGTTCAAAGAAACAAGTATGAAGAAATTCAAATGTCATTCAGAAACCTGATTGAACTCACTGTAATTAGCATATTCTAACCGCTTCAAGCGTAGATGAGGGAAGGTGGAACGATGAGTTGTCCAACATAAAAGTCAATACAAGTGAATCCCAAAATTAGTAATCCAACATTTACAACACAAGATTCTGAAAAGGAAACAAAATCAAGAGAACCCAGAGTGCAAGTCCCGGAAATGGTATGATTCCTTTACAGATGGAATGCAACAGAAAGAGAAAGCAAAACCCACCAAAATCAAAGATTCCATTTTTTTCTTTCCCAACTCAACGCTCATTCAAAGACAATTAAATTGGGAGAACCCAGGTTCTAAATTAGGAACAAAAGTTATGTAAAATCAATAATTTGAACACAGATTGCAACACAAATTAAATAAAATTAAAAAAACTCAACTTTACCTGAATCCCAAATACAAAAATGCTGGCCCAGAAATACGAGAGCAAGTAAGAGTGAGTCAATTTCGAATCTTCATTTATACCAACCAGCTCTGATAGAGATGTATAGTAAACGGTGACTACAAACATTAGAGATGTAGGCTGTTCGGCACTTAGGCATGAATATCGGCCCCCAATCCGACTTCATTCATTTGGGTGGATATCAAAAACACCCCCAAGGTTTGATCTAATATATATATATAAAAAAAAAAAATCCTCCACACTTTTGATGGCTATGCAGCATAACTGATCCTCCAACTGATTTCACTATAATCTCCTGAATGCTTCCTGCAAAGTTTTACCAAGAAAAAATCTCAACCACAGAAATAAAATTTACTCCCTCCGTCCTGAACTGATTGTCTAGTTTGGAATCTTATTTTTAGTACAAATTGTATTAGGATTGAAAACCCAAACTGTGCAATAATTTTGGGACAGAGGGGGTATCATGATTGGTGGATGGTAAATGATAGTCATAGAGAATTGACTAGATTTAAAAGAGTTTCTGCAAAATCAAATGAGGAACAGCATTTACAATGACAAAAATAATGCAGAGAAAAATCAGTCTGAAGCAGTTAAGCAAAAAAGTGACATTGCTGATGAAATTGGTATACCATAAATCCATTGGCTAGATTAGATAGTTTGAACAGGACCTTTATTTGTATAAGAACCAAAGAGCTAAGAAACTTAAAAAGGTTATAAAACATGTCGCAGCCATAAGATACATTAATTTATTAGCAAATCGAGTAAACCATGCATATGAACAACATCTGACTAGAGTACTAGGAGGAAATGATGTACAACTAAAGATGGAACAAAGACAAAGTGTCGATCATTTCAAAAATCATACAAGCCGTAAGTTGGTAAGACCCAATACTTATTTTCAAATCTCATCTTCTCAGAGAAAACGGAAGTACCAAAGTAGAACAAGAAACAACACAAGAATTATCATGTTGAACTTTGATAATAACCACATGTTCTGAGTGTTAAAACCATGTTACAAACAAAATAACATTAACAAATTTACCACATAACTACCCAAAATGAGCCACTGTTTTTATCCTTCACAAGTTCAGATGACTTTTTTCTTTCAACATACACATGTATGTCAGTAGAGTCTAAGAATCTTGAAAAAACAAAGTTCAATTTATATAGACACTAACGACAATTCAGAATTCAAACGTACAAATTGTAAATGAGATTCTATCAGAAATAAAATCACTAACGGCATTACAGCTTAGTCTAGTTTTATTTCCCCAGATGAACAACAAAAGCCTGGCATTTCAGCATATAAACGTTTTGCACCACAAAATTTGCAATCCGTTACATTAGATAATATATCAGGAGTATTTACTATGAGCTCTAAGGGGTCAACGATCTGTTCACACATACGGGTCTTACGGCGAATATTTCTATCCTGTACACGCTGTTCGACAAGATCATACTTTCTTTTTGTTTGTCATTATGCCTATCTAAATGGGAGTTTTGGGTTCACACAGATATACACACAAAAGGCACAAAAGCTTTTAGGATAAAGCAGACCTAAAGTGCAGAAATTATACACTACAGCTAATTCTGTTAGTCATCAAATTGCTTTATAAACTGCAGAAAACATGAAGTAACAAATTTTGAAATAATTGGAATAATAAAATGAAAACAAATGAATGAGTAACTGGAAAACAGATCATCATGACCAAGCAAAAATAAAAAATAATCACCGTTGTCTTTCCAAAAAGCACAAATTTCATGGCAATCAAAAGCAAAACCCTTCAATCTCTTCTAAAACCCATACATTTGAAATATAAAATTCAAAATCTATCAATAAGAATGTGTATAATAGAAATGTCCAACTGATTAATCCAATCGATCAAAAAGTTTGTTCCCTTGATTCATTTAAACCAATCAGTAAACAAGAAATGAAACTAAAAATGCAATTTGAAAAATAGACATCAATCGAATGCAAAAAGAAGTAAGGCCTCCCCCTCAGCCGTTTTGCCCTGAAACTAAAACCAATCCAATATCTACATACTAATACCAAACACACAATAAAATTGATTCGACTATCACAACGGTTTACTTTAAACTCTTGAATTACTTTCCCCAAGAAGTCCAAGTTTAAATCGAAGGGAAAAAAAAGTCACACAAACACAAACAGACATAGAAGTATAATAGATTTAATCGTCTCAAATAGATTTAATCTTCTCAAAAAATCAACAACTCGCTAAAATCCGGATCTAGATAGCTGCTGCCTAAATCCTAGAATGAATCCATGGTCGAAGAAAGGAAAAAGGGGAAAAAGAGGTACAATTTGGTATCAGTGGAGCGAAGTTCTGTTCCTCACATAGACGTCAAAGAAGGGAAAAAGAAAGGAAAGAAGAGAGCTGGGCTACAGGCAAAGAAGGTTACCCCTTCAAAGACCGACCGAAAAAGAAAAAAAAGGAAGCGGTCCAATACCAAATTGCCACGTCAGCTGTGTTGACCGACAACCCCCTCTTAACCGTGAAGGAAAATGAAGACATCTGCTCATCATTTTTTTACGCTAGACATAAGACTCAGATCCGCATGATCAAGATTAATGGTTATAAGAAATAAGAAGTATGAATCTAATGTAGAAATAAAGTCATTTAGGTTTATATTTCACACCTAGTTATCAGAGATTCAGCAAATATGATGACCACCTTGAAGTTGTAAGGGACATCTCCACAGTTACCAAATATGAGATTAACCTACATACTTTGTGCTACTTGTGCTAACAGAAAGTAGAAAACACAAGTAGAAAACATGAAAGATGCCATTCAGTAGACCAAACAAGTAGAAAACAAAAGTAATATGCAAACAAACTTCAAATTTAGGAATTATTATGCCTTCCAAATTTCAGCAGCATTGAAAACTTAACCACATTTCACAAAATAACATAATTTGAATAAAGACTCTGAAACCCACACATCAAGAATAAAGCATAATTTGAATAACGCATATTATATAATTGTTTTCAGTTTCATTTTGCATCTGAAATATATAATCACTCTCATCTTCTTCAAAAAACACAGACTCTGGAAATTGGAAGCAAAGATCTATTGTGTTTGCATAGGTGGAAAGTACAAATTGTACAAAAAGGGTTACACGTGTACCAGAAGAAAATTTTGACTCTTGTGGTAAATTGCAGAGAACCAAATCTTTAAAACACACAATACATTCCTGAGGAAAATTGCAGAAAACAAAAAATCTGTGAACAAATAAAAAATAGGGATCAATCAATCCACAATACATTCCTTTTCCCCCAAACTAAAACCAAACTCAGTATCTACTACCACCAATCGCACAATAGATTCATTCAACCATCACATCGACTCACTTTGAACCCTTCAATAAGTTTCCCCAAAAACCTGAAGTCTAAATCCGTTGTGTTCTTGTATAAGTCGATGGAGAGAAAATCAGACAAACACAAAAAAACACATACAAAGTATAATAACAGATCTGCAGATTTCAAAAATCAACAACTCACTAACCACCGGATCCAAAGAGCTGCTGCCTAAATCCCAGAAGAAGTCGATGTTCAGAGGAAGAAAAAAGGTGCAATTAGATACCAGTGGAGCAAAGTTATCCCTTCAAATTCTGTTCCTCACTTAGCCGTCAAAAGGGAAAAAGAAAAGAAAGAAGAGAGCTGGGCAACGGGCCAAAGAGGTTGCTCCTACAAAGACCGACCAAAAGGAAAAAAAGGAATCGAGTCCAAACCAAATTGCCACGTCACCGATGTTTACCGACAACGGCCCTTTAACCATGCAGGAAAAGGCGATTCTCTCCTATTTATATGTAGACTAGCAGAGGGGAGCCGCACGATGTTTTAGAAGTTCCATTCTTAAAACGATACCCTATGTTCAAGTTAAACACATCATGCGGACAAGATCGCAATAGCAAAAGAAAATTCTTTTTTTGATAAACAACAAACGAAAATTCATTTGTAAAGTTTACAACTCAAATTCGAATATGTATATAATATGACACCGCTGCTCCATTTACCAAGTTTACTTTTGTTGGTTTTTGTTCTAAATCTCTTTACTCACAATCGGATAAAACAAAGTATCAAAATTCTCTACTATTTCATAGTAGTTCATAAATATCTGATCTGATTATCGTTTCACCTAATAGCATACACTCCCTAATTCAAATTTAACTTAGCATAGTAATCCTTCCATATGTGGCAAGCGATCTGACCACCCAAACCAAAAACTTTAAACTTAATTTTCCCAATGCTCAGCTACTGGGTCGGTTGATGCTGCACCAGCCTCTACTCACACAAATTAATCAAAAAATCAGGGCAAACCCACTTCAAGAGATGATTTTAAAAGAGTTCAACCAAACTACTTTGTTTCCGTGGTAAAAAACTAAGAAATTCGTTCATTTTAAGCAAGACATTTATAATTAGAGAATGTCTTTAACATCAGTAGATAGTGATGCCATATGGACCATTTACAATAATCTTTAACATCAAGTTAGTGATAAAGCTCTATTACTGGTCATCAAGTTTCATCCTCCAGAATGGACAAATAAGACCTGTCCTAAAAACCACAACCACAACAAAAGTGGTCAACTCACGATATTATTGCATGCATTATTATCAAATTCATATGGTATATCAAGAACAACCCAAGTAGTTACTATGTGTTTTAAGGGGTCAACTGTCTGTCATACATGGGTTTTACGGCGAGTATTTCTTTCCTGTACAAGCTGTTCAACAGAATTATATTATCCTTTTTTGGTCATTATGCCTACCTAAATGGGAAGCCCAGGTTTACACAAATATACACAGAAGGCACGAAAACTATAAGATAAAGGAGTCTTCGAGTGCACAAACTGTAAAAAGTTACAACATACAATAAAACACAATTTGTACAAAATTAACATAAATGGAAATCTTAGGTTACACAAATATACACAGAAGGTACAAAAACTATAAGATAAAGGAGTCTTGGAAGTGCAAAAAGTGTAAAAAGTTAAAACATACAATAAGACAAAAGTTGCACAAAATTAATAAATGAACCTGCTTGTAGATGTATTCCTTGAGGTGGACATTTTGTAAATTGTAGTTTACAAAACACTTTGTAAACTGTAGAAAACATGGACTAAAAAATTATGAAGTAGGTGGAACGATGTAACAAACAGATCTCTAACTAAAGAAGCGATTATGATGAGCAAAATGATCACGGAAACATCACCTGACAACTGAATGAGCACTCTCCATACACTAAAGTAACCATACCTAAACATTGGTAAAACATGCAGCAATTACATTCAGCCATCTGATCCTAACTGCCTACCCCAGGCCACACATTAATTTCCCTTCTTTCCTCCCCGAACCAGAGACCTCAAGCACACACACAGTACCAATTTCACTCTGTTTTTGGCCCCTTCTCATGCATGGTAATGGTCGACAACAATTTCCTAATCCGAATACACCCGATTTCTTTTACTTTATCAAACCTTTCGGCCATATGCCTTTATCTTTTCCCAAATCAATTCAACAGTACAAAATCAATATTGAACAAGATTCAAGTACCAAAGTCACAAAAAGCATGAGCTAATTTGTCCGGCCCACATCGACTCAATCGGAATCGACTCAATCAGAGACTAACTAAAACCCAGTATATAATTTTACCACTACATCACATGCATCAATTGAGGGGCAACAAAATTAAGCATGAAATTCAATATCAATACCGGATGCACAATAAATTCATTCAAACATCACATCAACTCATTTTAAACCCTTCAATTTGTTTTTCCAAAAACGCAAGTTTAAATCGCCTCTGTTGTTCTATCCCTCGACGGAGAGAAGCTAAACCTTTGGATGCAAGCTGACTAAACGCAAACAAAGCCGATAATCGAAGGGAAGAAAGAACTGAGATAAGTGTCAATGAAGTGGAATTATGCCGCAAACTCTGTCCTTCTTCACGCAGGGGTCAAAAAGGAAAAAGAAAAGAGAAAAAGGGAGTTGGAAAAACGGGAGAAGGAGTTGGTCGTACAAAGGCCACAAAAAACTATTGGGAATAGGCACTAAACAGAGGTCAAAACCACTTGAAGTCAAGAGAAATTAACACAACTATTAGAAAGTTTGAATTTTCAAATCAATGCTATAACAAAGACCATTCGTTTTTCGTTCAGTGCATTATGTGAACAGGCACTAAACAGAGGTCAACTCATTGATGTAAAATGTCTCGAGCAATACCGAAAAGGGATCCTCACAGAAGAACAAACTGAAGGCAATGAAAAGTTCAGAGAGTGAAAGCAAAACTGATTCCGTTCAAGCATGCTGCATAGATAAACTGTAAAATAACACTTGCCAAAACTCATTCAGACCCAAATTCAAACACCTAACATGCAAGACTTCAAATCTTGGTTCTAATTTTTACCGATTCACTTTAAATTCCCCTATTAAGGCAAAAGGAAATCAATTCAAACTAAAATCCCACGAAGATGGTAGGAGAAAGCTCCATAAATTGTAGCTTTTTCTTCTTCTCCTGTAAATGATTCATCTAGTCTCCACAACATAAGAATTCATTAAGGTATAAAGCAAACACCTAATATGCAAACCAAACATCCATGCTCCTACAATTAATTGCACCCACTAATTTCAAACCTTGTTGATCATTATCACAAAAATTGATCAACGTGGAAGTAGAAGAAATAAGAATCGGGGAAGTAAAACATTATTGAATTTAAAATCACGACAAGCAGCAAAAGGAAAGAAGACGCTCAATCGAAAGATTTGAGAGAGGAGCGTGGAAACAGCAGGCACAAACCAGTGGATGATCATGGTTCAGACAGTGACTTTGCTGGAGGAAGAAACGGCAATCGGAGGAGAGGAGATGGAAGTACACCGTGGGCGACGGGCAACCGGAAGGGAAGAATTGAGGGAGCAGATATGAGTAACGCGACCAAAAAGAGGAGACAAATTAACACTTGCCACGTCCGCAAAAATAACCGGGAACCAGAAGTAGATGTAGATACAGAGAGCAGTAGCAGGTTTGTATTCCCAATATCCCGTCCGCTTGTTTCACCTCCGAATCGACTTTGCCTTTGATTCTATACAGCCAGGAACCAAAGAGCAAAGAAAAAATGTCTCTTAATATACAACAGCAAGTGGAGAAAGTGAATGGAAAGGAACTAAGCTACGTTCAATTTGTTCAAAATTACCTGGTTCAAAATCAACCCGTTATACTCACCGGGTTAATGGACGATTGGAAGGCCTGTAAAGACTGGGTTCATCAAGACGGAAAACCAAATCTCAAATTTATTTCCACTCATTTTGGCAAGTCTCAAGTCCAGGTACTAACTTAATTTTAAAAGTTTTGTTAATCAAAGACGTTTTTTCTAACAAGATTTTTGGAATAAACTTGCTGACGCGATGATGGCACGGAACCCTTTTTGTAGGTTGCAGATTGTGGGATACAAGAGTTCACTGACCAGAAAAGAATGGAAATGTCTGTTTCAGAGTTTATTATGAAATGGGTGGAATCTAAAGACACTAATGGTTCTCTGGAATCGAATGACAAGCCTTTGTTATACTTAAAAGATTGGCACTTTGTAAAGGTTTCACTCTGTTCTCTATTTGTGTTGTTTTTGCCCGTCTCTTTGTAAGATTTTGATTATTTAACCCTTTGCTTGTGGGCTATTATCTTTTTCATCTTGTATATTTTTGGTCTGGTTTATTATGAGTCATGATGGATATCACAGGCATCATGTGAATTTGAGGATTATGATGTAGTGTTCAATTGTTGGACTTCCATGGCGTATGGTAATATTACATCAGTTGTATCTTATGGTACCAAAGTGCGATGTATTATGTTCTGTTTTAGTGATGCTTTTTAGTTGCCTAATAAGAACCAGAAAGAGGGTAACTCTAAGTTTGAGTAGTGATGCATGACATTTTCGTTTGTTAGGAATTTTTAGGAATATTTAAGTTGTAGTCTTCCCAGAATTATCAGGTTTTTGGTCATTTGGTTAGTAGAATCCTGTTGAGACTTAGCCACAGGGTATCTTTTATAATTAGGGAATCATGTGCAAAGTAAAGCAGTTAATGGGTTGTTTAATGATGATATATTGAAAGAGATCTTCTTTTGTTTTTTGTTTTCTGGGATTCTGTCTAAAAATCCCAGCCTCTGATTATGGATCAAAGTTGTCTTCTTTCAAACTTCCGCTGCATCAAGTAGATTTTCTTGGATAGAGCTAGCCACCATTGAAATTTCAGACTTACATACTGTAATATCCATGCAATGGAGGCACTACTTTCTTTTCATACAGAATCAGTGAGTTTGGTTTTAAATGTTGTTGTTGTTATTTCAACAGTTTTCTTGGTTTTTCAGGAGTACCCGGAATACTGTGCATATAAGACGCCAGTATTTTTCTGTGATGACTGGTTGAATATGTATCTTGATCGATACCGTATGCATATGGATCCTGATAGTTACCAAGAGAACAACGAAATAAGCTGCTCTGACTATCGTTTTGTGTACATGGGGGCAAAAGGTTGGCGACTTGATGCATTGATGTCTTTCTTGTAAGATAGACATTATCATTTCTTTGTTTAATGATTCATCTTGCTTTTTCGGATTTATTATGAAATTGTGGTTGACATAACCAGGAAACTTGCACCATCTTTGTTATGTAGGCACTTGGACACCACTCCATGCAGATGTTTTTAGGTCATATAGTTGGTCAGCAAATGTGTGCGGCAAGAAGCAATGGTTTTTTCTTCCTCCTAGTAAACATCACCTTGTGTTTGACAGGTTAACAAAGTTCTTCTTGGTTCTGCAATCTGCTACTTAAATTCTAGATCTATCACTTCTGAGTACATTCGCACCAGGCAGACAAATGTTTACTGATGATGTTAATATAAGTGCAAAGTCTTTATTGTATAAATCTATAAGAAAAGGAAAGATAAGACAGTGTCTGAAAAAAGTAAGGAATCTAAGAAGTGCATATAGTGCAGCATAATTTTGCTCAATGTCGGCAAAAGAATCATGCAAATAACTTAGCATGTATCTTAATCGGAGAGGACAGGTAGAATTGTTTGATTACGTGGATTATCGTCAATGCATGTGTTTGTTTTTAATCTTGTAGCTTTGTAACCATGTTTTCTCGTTTAGATTCCTGAGAGTATCCATTATGACAACTCAAGATGTCTAGTAACTAGAAAAGAAGTTCTCTTTACTAATGAGATTATTGTACTCTTTAAATAAAAAATCATGTGATTGATGGGAACAAGATTTTTGACAAATAAACTTCTAAATCCAGTTGTTGTAGCTGTATACAAGAATTTTTTCTCTAACTAACGGAGAAACTTTTAAGTTCTTTAACCTTCTTTGTGGGCTCAAGTCCGTAAGCTTCCTTTATATCTTGTTTGGAATTGATGAAAATAGATAAATGTAATTACTGATCTTCAAATGCTTTCTAGTTTTCATTTCTTTTTTTTATGGGGACCCAGCAACTTCTTTTGTTCTTTCAGGAACATGAAAAATTCAATTTACAACATATTTGAGGGTGTTGATGATACAAAATTTCCTTGCTTTAGAGAGGTAACTAGTGAATTTGAATCATGTCGGTGCCCTTTTTATTTTATGTCTGAAAGTTGAATCTAATTGGTCATATACTTCTTATTTTTTCTTGGGGGTGGATGCCCGTACGCAGGCTATTTGGTGGGAATGCACTCAGGAAGAAAATGAGATAATCTTTGTCCCTAGTGGATGGTATCATCAAGTTCATAATCTGGTATATCACAATTCGTAGATGACATTTTTTTGAGCTCCTGCATCTGTTTATTATTTTCGATATGATTGGGAGAGGAATGAAATGAATTGTCTTGTTATCTATGGTGGTCGTAGTAGTATAGATCAATGCTTCTGATATGGCAATCAATCCAACAAATATTGCTTGTGTGCACCTACTTATTTTCACATGAAGTTTTGTTTCTTTTCTTCGCTTCTGAAGGCTTTATCAAGTCTATCGGTTCCTCTCATAAAGTTGATAACAGTAAAGTGAAACCTTAAATATGACTACAGGCCAAGTGCAGAGTGCCTCTTCATAAGGAAATTAATATCCCTGATTTTTTCAGCAATTCTTTCATTATTCTTGTTTGCCTTTCATTAAATTTTCTAATCTGAGCACAATGGTCTGAAAAGCTTGTGAATTAGGCTTACAATGATTTCAGAACAGAGATTTCTGTTTACTTGAAAGATGAGTTGCATACCATTTTAGAAATACTGTTTCACCATGTAAGTATATTGATCAAATCGCATGGATTCTAAACAATCTATCTTTTAGTATGTGTACTTCATTTTGTCTTCAGATTCTTCAAAGCTCCTAGACATCTTGCAAGTTGATGTGAGATTGAGTGGTTAAAGTGGATTCCGAATGATGATTAGATGAATTTAATCTCTACCTTCCTGATAAGACATGCATGTGCAGCAAAATTGAAAATATATATATATATATATATATATATATATATATATTTCTTTGTATGCTTGGTTTTTTGTTTGGTCTATTAATATTTCCATCACTAACAATGTAAACTTATGATTTGCAGGAAGATACAATCTCAATCAATCACAACTGGTTCAATGCCTATAACGTCTCTTGGGTGGTAAGTCTAACAAAATCTTATCTACACGTCTTAAACATGAGAAAGCTGTCCCTTAAGTTCACACTGTGGACAGGCGTGTACAAAGGAAAGTTAGGGTAAAATAGTATGGGTCCTTATTTTCCTCCGGTTATACATATATTGCTAGTCTGTATGCTTAGTTTACTGCCATGTGAAAACCTCTTGTTGGAGTTTTCTTTTTTCTTTCTCTCTCTTTGTTTTTATTTTTACATTGTATTTCTTTGTTTGGCTGGTTTCCCGAGTGTTACATGTAAATCTTGGGTGTCTCCTGTGTAGCGTGGATCTTTGTACCCTTATGTTGATGATATATATTTATCTTTGACGAGTTCATTTACTTTATATCAAGTGTTAAGACCAAAGGTTGTGAAATATTGAGGGTAGTTTTGAAATTTTCTATCACCGGTAAAATTAAAGTTTTACTGAACGTCCTATCGCCAATAGAATGTTGAGGTTTGTTTTGGGAAATCAGCATTTTTGTTTTACTTTTAGGGAAAAAGGACCTCTGTGTATATGTTGCAATTTAGATGCATTTATAATTTTCAGATGGAACTAATATTTACTCCCTAGGGCATGGGGCCCTTCTTTTAGGACAAATATCTGTATTCCAAAGTTGAAGCAAGTCACAAATTTCTCTATTTCAAAGTTGAAACAAGTCATATGATGTTTATATTTTATGTTTGCCAGTGGGACTTGCTTTTGAAAGATTACAAAGAAGCTAGATATTTGATTGAAGACATCAAAGACATTTGTGATGATTTTGAGGGCCTTTGCCAGCGAAATCTAGCAGCTAATTCAGGTTTGTACTGGTAAATTGTTGATGAATGTACAACGTTTCTAACAACAACGTGGTTCTTAGGAGTGATGAGTCTGTTAACGCTTCTGTATCAGTTTGTGTTGCCTTATACTTGGCTCTGATTAGATTCAAGTCAGGGCGTATGAAGCCTTATCTTTGCTTAAGGAAAGATTCTGTTCCGGACTTGATGAACCGTGAACGGTGACCCCGACACTGATCGGTCTCAAAGGAGCGGCGACGTTATTGTTGTGCTTAGGGCCCAATGGTTGGCCTTTCATTTGCATTCAAGTTCTATATTTGAAATCACTATCAGTAGGTTCAGTAAATTTTGTCCTTAATTCTTAGGCAGCTGGCTAAACATAACTTAAACTGGAAAACATAAACTGGAACTCTTTGCAGCTGGCAGAATATAACTTACTAAGTGATCGCCTGACTGACTTCCTGAATTTTCTATTTTTTTTTAATTTTTTTTATTTTGTTTGTTACTCTGACCTGAAGAAAACTTCTTTTCTTATATTCTTGTTGTAGGAATGAATTTCCATGATATTTTAGCCTTCATGGTGCGCATTACTTTGGCCAACTTATTCCTTCTTCACCATCTCGTGCAATTGGAAGAAAATCCCCTCTGTTGGTCATCCGGAGTACTGGGTGATACAGTTTTCAATCTTCAATCTATACAACGTGTAGCTCTTAAGATGAAATCTGTTGGAGCATCTACCAATATCCGCATCTTAATAGACTTGAATAATCTTATGGAGGATTATTCTTTTCTGCAACTGTTCGCCACTCTGAAAGAAACTTATGGGGCGATACATGGCGTTTTCGATGTTATTTGTGAAGAGAAGGTCCTATGTAGTCACATCAAAGAATTGCTTAATGAATTTTCCTGTTCATTTGTTGGTTCTGAAGATCTGGATCTGTTGGTAGACTTCGTTTTTAGAACAGTTGGTTTTGTTTCCGGCGAAAATATGCTTTTGGAGAACTAAGGCAATCCTATGTTATGTACCTGTCCAGAAGGGTCTCTCCTGGCATAGAGATTATGCCAAAATGGTTTGAAGTTTTAACTCTGAATTTATTGGCAATGAAGTATGTTTAATTTCTTCAACGTTGCTTCATATTACAAATTTGATAAAATCCCATAAAAGTCCAATGTAATCTATACTTCTAAACAATTCTTAAAACTCCTACCAAAAGACCAAAGATCTAATCTCCTTCAAAATCCATACTATTACTATTTCGCATCCTAAAAGCCATTCTTTTTGAAATTAAACGAGTTACTTATATTTTTACCCCTGAAAGAGAAGTTTTCAAAAAATTGAAGGACACGTATTTATAATAAACTAGACAGAAGCGAGTACATGAAGGAAACAAATGCTTTTATAATTGAATTGGTTCTATTAATTACATCATTATCACTTGAGTATAGATATTTGTTTTATTTTAAAATGATCAAATATACAAATTGAAGAGGGTAATAAAAATCTAATTCTTATTCTTAAAATGAAAAATAATACAAGTGTACCACATTGCATCTGATCTTATGAAATTTAGTGGAATCACAAAAAATTTCTAAATAGAGTACCCTTAGATAACATAATGAAATCAAAAAGTTTACAGAAGAACTCAAATGAATTGGGGAAAAAAGAAAAAACCTTACAAAGTAACTCAACTTTTCAGTGGATAAAATAAGCTAACTTCAAGAACTATGTTGAGCAAAAAACTGTTTGAACTTTTATGCTTTGAAAGGAATTAATGAAAAACTTACCAATTCCAATATGAGGTTTTTCGCAATCGAAGAGTTATTGATTGCTTTTGAAAATTTGCTGTTATTTGATCACCACTAATACTTAGTAGATACTATATAGTGTTCTTTTGTAGAATTTGCTGGTACTTGATCTCTATTAGATAGTTTTAAAAAAATGAAACATATGGAGGCTAGAGCATGAGAAGTGTTTTATAGACTTCGACAAATAAATCAATTGGTTATAATAATTGTCAGAATATTAAGGGGAGAGTGAAGACAAAGGGACTATAATAATAAATTTAAATTTCAATAGTAATTAAAGTAGAGGTAAATGACAGAGGTGAAGAGATTATAATAATGAAGTAAAATATTTTTTATTCAAATATTTGAATAAAGGTTCAGACAGGGTTTCTTTGAAATATACTGTCAACGGAGAAGTAATCACTGAAAATTATGATAAAACTCTAAAGGATGAAGTGAAAGATTGGTACGAAGGTAGGTATTTATCTAGTTGTGAAGTTGTATGGCGTATCTTCAAATTTCTAATACAATACAAAACACATCATGTTGAACGATTAAGCTTCCATATACCTGGTGAGCAGAGTGTAGTATACGATGAAGATCAGACTATTGAAATTGTATTCAACAGAGCTTCTAACAGAAAATCAAAGTTCACTGCACGGATGGAATGTAACAACATCTACCCTGAAGCTAGAAGCCTTACGTACATAAATTTCCCATCCAAAATTTGTATGGAAGAGAAAGGAAAAAATGTGGTTGCCAAGACAGAGAGGTTCTAGCATTGGCAGAATTCATGGGGTTCCTATAGCTGCTGGTGAACCATATTATTTAAGCATGTTTCTGAATTTAGTTAAAGGGCCAACCTGTTATGAAGATATAATGACAGTAGATGGTATCGAATATTCGTCTTTCAAGGAAGCTTACTTTGCTAGAGGTTTACTAGAAGATGATAAAGAATACATTGACATGGAAGCATCAACTTGGGGTTCACCAAGTTACTGCAGACATCTTTTTGCAGAGCTATTGGATGAAGACATTGTGTCTAAACCTGATCATGTCCTAAGCCAAACCTGGGAATGCTACACGGAAGATATACCTAGAAAGTTGAAACGCTTTACAAAAATGAAGGTATGGTTTTGTACAATTTTTACTTTTATTTTTCAATAACTGTAAACATAATGTATTACACTAATTTTAATACTGTCCTAATTCTATTTGTTACTAATTTTATTAATCTCTTAAAAAATTGTATTCACAGATTACGAAGTGTCTGAGGATGAGAAAAAAATGCATGCCCTGAAAGAAATAGAGTTAATTCTTCGGACTCATGGAAAAAGCCTTAAGCAATTTCCTAGTATGCCATATCCATGAGATGTTTTCATTAATGATGGAACCAATACTATGATACATGATGAGTTAGACTACAACAGCACCGATTTGAAAGAAGAACATAACTGATGAGCAAAGAGAAATTTACAAACAGATTATAGGTGCAATTGAAAAGGATAATTAAGGTTTGTTTTTTGTTTATGGTTATGGTGGGACTGGAAAAACATACGTCTGACGCACACTTTCAGTTGCCATTCGTAAGGAAGGAGAGATTGTATTAAATGTAGCATCAAGTGGGATTGTTTCGTTGTTATTGCTAGGCGGAAAGACAGCTTATTCGAGGTTTCAAATACCCAATGACATTACAGATGAATCAACATGTACCATAAAACTATCACGCCCCAACTTAGGGCCTAGTTGCACGCCACAAGTAGAACAATGAACATTGTCCATTGTCATACAAGTAAGGCAACTTACATTTTTTTTTCTTTCTTCTTTTTTTTTATTCATTTCAAATGTCTAAAATTTGAGTCACAATAAAAATGATTAAATCATAAATATCTTGCAGCGGAAACTAAATCACTATTAAATCTCTTAGCCATTCCTTCGTCTCTCCGACATAGTGGCAACGTCTGTCATTCTTCCCCAACTTCCTCTAACCGCAGTCATCATCACTATTACTCTAAACATCTATTGGGGGAGTCAGTACATGCAAGTTCAAGTACTCATATAAACTTCAAAACATTTCGCAAAACATGATTATTTCAAAACCATTGCATAGCACACTTTCATTTGTGAAACAACGCTTAGTTTTGTAAAACTTTCACTTTCATAAATATTCCGCTTCACTTTCATAACTTTCAAATGGCGAAAATAAGACATTCTCATAAATATCTATTTTCACAAAAACATTCACATTGTCAACATGAGGCATAACTTATAAAAACATCAAACGTCCCTATAAACGTTCTTTGCAAAATTGAAACATTCAAAATATCAGACGTTTCCATAATCATCCGCATTTGGGAAATTGAGACATTCATTGCTTGTAAAACATCAGACGTCTCATAAACGCCCACTTTTGTGAAATCGAAACATTCATAAACATCACACATTCTCATAAGCGTTCGCTTTTGTGAAATTGAGACATAGCGATATACTTTATCAAGATAACCTGTTCACAGTTCCGGATATAAGCCCTCCAAAAATTATGGACACTTTTTACTTAAGGCTACTCTCGCCTCTCGTTATTATTGGACTTGGGCTTTCCAGCTTTTTCATCCACTTTTACATTTACTCACGGACTTGGGCTTTTCAGCTTTTTTGTCCACTTATATATTTACTTATGAATTTGGGCTTTCTAGCTTTTTCATCCACTTTCACATTTACTCAGGGATTTGGGCTTTCCAGCTTTTTCATCCCCCTTTCGCTTTCGTGATCACTACCATAATATCATACGTGCATATAGTCTCAATTTCAAGAATTTATTCATAATCATGACCATACTTCAACTTCCAAACATTCTTTATAAAACATTTTCATAAATTATAAAACATTTTCACATTTCGTATATAATAAATGATTTAGTTCAAACAAATATTTAAAACAAATAAGTAAGTCGGGCGAGGGAACGCACGTCATGAATATCAAATAAATCATTTAGTTCACACAAGCACTTAAACGAGCATGTACATTGTGCGAGGGAACGCACCTTTACTTGATCAATTTCCATCATCTTGAAATTCCAAAACCTTTTCCCTTCACCTATCATTATATATCCATTTTATTCAATATGACTACTACAAGCCTTTAAAAATCCTAATAACATTCCTTTTCTTTAGTATACTACTCCCTCCATCCCAAAAAAATAGTCCAATTTGAAAGACTAAAATATAAAAATTAGATGACTTAATCTTGTAAATTTAAAATTTAATATGAAAAATTGAATAAAGATTGGAGGGATCACAAACGGTCACACTTAAAATCTAATCTCCTTAGATAGAAAATCCTTTAGTGATCTATTAGTACATAGATAAAACCGTATTAAGGAACTATTTTGATACAAACTAGACATACTTTTATTATTTAAATATGTATACTACTAAAGAAACATATATAATATTATTTAGAAAAGTAGTATCTTACTACTAAGAGAGTATATATTGAGGTTTTAAGAAAGAGTAATATTAAGGAAACGTATGTGACATACATTTGAAAGCATGTATACTACAAAATCTAATTTATATTACTCCCTACGTCCCATAATTATTGTCCAGTTTGGGTTTTCATTTTTAGTTCAAATTGTACTAAAAGTGAAATCTCAAACTGGACAATAATTTTGGGACAAAGGGAGTATAATTTAAGAAAAAACATACTAGTATCATGGAAATATATATAGCATTACTTTGTAAGAAAGCATATTACAACTAAGAAATGTATGTTATTATTTAAGAAAACGAGCTACTATCACAAAAGCATATGTACTATTGAAATAACTTCTTAGTTCTACACATTCCAAATCCTAGATCATAATCAAGAATCTAAATAAAGGGGAATATAATTCCCAACATTTCTTCTTAATAACAAAACAAAAACTCTAACTAAAAGTGAGACTTGAAGGTTACTTCATAGAAGACTTTTGAAATTCTAAGAATTTCTCCCAAACTACCTTGAGCTTCCTTAGACCTCCAAGAAAATTTTAAACTTCAACTAGGGTGTAGTCCTTCACTTGGAAGTATCCACTCCCTTAGTTGATTTTGGTGTGCCCAAACTCAAAGTGAAACCCTCTATTTATAGGTGTAGATTTTACTATTCCTACCTACCCTTTCTTTATTTTTTAAAAATATTTTTTACTATTCCTACCAATCCCTTCACTAATATTTTCTTCCTAACTAATCATTCTTTATTATTTTAATATTTGTTATTAGTCCTACCTAACTCTTCCATTTTATTTTAATTTTTTTGTAGGATGACCTTTACTATTCACATTTGCCTCTTATTAGTTTAACATTATTTTTACTATTCATGGAAGCTTCTATTGTTATTATATTTATTATTATTGTTATTATTTTATTACTATTCATTGATGTCTCTTACTATTTATTAATTTTCTCTTACTTTGTATTTTATCATTGATTTTATTTTTCATGGATGCCTCCTAACTTTTTCACTATCTATAACTTAATTAATCTTATACTGTCGAAGACTCTCGAATCTTCTAATTACTATTATTATGTATGGTATTATCATTTTAACTTTGTACCCATAACTTTTAAAATCTTTTTCTTTTAAAATCTTTGGGAAAATTTTCTAGGTATTACAAAAACCAGGAAGTGGTTTGTGTGCTTTGGTTAAAAGAGCAAAACTTATTATATGGGAAAAAGGCACCCATGATACATAAGCATTGCTTTCAAGTTCTAGACAGGACATTAAAGGATGTATTAAGGCGTTCAAATCCAGATGGTGTAGATCAACCTTTTGGAGGTAAAATTGTTGTTCTCGGAGTTGATTTCAGTCAAATATTACCTGTGATTCCAAAAGGTACAAGAGTAAATATTGTTAATTCTGCAATTAACTCTTCTTACCTATGGAGGCATTGCAGGGTACTTAAATTAACAGTTAACATGAGGTTACGTGTTGGAGATACAACTAATAATCCTGAAGAGATTAGTGAGTTTGCTGACTGGCTGCTAAAGATCGGAGTAGGAAAGATCAATGAACCAAATGATGGTGAAGCAGAAATTGAATTCCCAGATGATGTCGTTGTACAGGAACCAGGAGATCCTATCGAAGTAATTGTTAAGTCTATATATCCATCGTTATCAGATAACCTCGAAAATTCTGCCTGGTTCCAAAAAAGAGCGATTTTAGGACCAACTCATAAAGTCATTGATAAGGTTAATGACTACATGACAAGTTTATTACCAGGTGAAGAATGTGCATACCTCAGCTCAGACAGTATGTGTAATTTTGAATATGGAGGTGAATCAGATCAGGGTATATACACTCCTGAATTTCTCAACAGTGTAAAGGCTTCAGCAATTATATGGTGTCCCTACAACTATTCACAAGCCTATATTCCTATGGTTGCATTTAATTATAGAGTCATTAAATTTAGGTATCTCATATGGCCAACCATGCCTTACCGGTATATTCCTATCCGGTAAGAAACCCTAAACTTTTACGTTTAAGTCATGGCCTATTTCAACAGAGCAAAACCAAACATCCTATTCCTAAGTATGCAAGATTTATAAACAAAGGCAAATATGTGATCAAGATAATTGCTGGAAAATTATAAATGGAAGAAATAGCTATTAAAATCACCAACGAAGTAAAATAAATTTTTAGACAAAATTCATATACTCTAACAATAAAAAACTAAATTACTCAGACATAATTAAAATAAAACAAACGGAGATGCGGTGTTGGACAGTCGCAAGGGGCTGCTGCTCCTCTCTTTTGTTGCGGGCAGCCGAAGAACACGAAAGCTTCAAGTCTTGCGCCCCATTTCAACTCACGGCCGAACTCCCCCCTTTACGGTTTTGGGCTTTTTATATAAAACAAAGTAGGGCTGCTCTCTCTAATTACTACGGGCCTTAATTCATCAATGAATTTAAAAACCCAAATCATTTAAAAATCCCACGTAGCTCCATTAGCCCACCATGATTAAATGACATCATTCACCAGCCCTTTATGAATAAAATTCCCTCGGCCGAACAAAATTCAAAGTCCCCATATTTGCACTTTGGTCCTCTAATTTCTAGTTTGTTTGCCTTCGACCTCAATAATTATTTTTATCTTCAATGTAGTCCTAACTTGAGTTTTTTCTTCTTCAATTAAGTCTTTTTTGTCCAATTAAACTCCAATTGATTCCAATCTCTCAATTCCTACAAACAATGATTTTATTAAGTAAATTATCTATGAAGCACATAAAATCTTCACAAAATTTTAAGTAAAAACATATAAAAATATATGGAAATATTTGACTCATCAACAAACCCTCGAGAAGCTTCTTCTGTTCAATAATGTTTTTGATCATTTCTTCATAAAGCTTCCTCTGTTTAAAAAGGGTTTTTGCCATTTCTTCAAAAAGCTACTTCCATTCTTTCTCCATTTCCTCCCTTTCTTCCCTTTCGAGGACTTTGACAGTTCTTTCAAAATATTGCTTATAATCCGCTCTCACCCTATCTTTTGCACGTTCATCCATGTATGGGATACCCGCCAGCATGTGATTGATATCCAACCTTTCAAGCTTTGACATACCAGAATCAACGGAGTCGTTAGCAATTCGGGTAGAATGACGAGAGTAGGCCCCCATTTGGCTGGAACAATGATGCCAGTAGTCGATCATTTGGCCATGATAATGACGAGAGTGGTTGGCCATTTGGCCGGCAAATTGCTTGAATGCAGCTTGAAATTTTTTCTTCGAGGTTGACTGTTCTGTGAGGGTTCAAAAGATTATTTGATTAATGTTGTGTGGCGGGTTTGGTGGATAAGATTTTCTATGCCATCATCTCTTGAACGTGATTGCGGAATCGATGAGGGGTGGCTTATATGCATCATTTGAAAGATTCACAAGTCTTCTAACAAGATAATTTAAAAAGTATGGGATGAAATTTATTTGAGGTTGGATCAAACATAATTATCATACTTGTTCTTCTTAGTTTGGTGCAATTTGGGCTTGTAGCACTCCATAGCTAAGTAATATTTTATAATGGTTTTAATTGGATACTATTGGTATGGTTATCTATCCTTCAAATGGAACTTGATGATCAAGTTATGAGAGAATTTTAACTTGGTTTTATGTTTAAGTCTCTTGAATTATGTTAGAACTTTGATTTGTTTGAACTTAATTTATGTTGGATATCTTTTGTTAGTTAATTCCATGATGAGACAAAATTTATGATGGTCCTTTGGAGGGAAAAAAAAAAAAGACAAATCTAATAGCTGCATGACCACAAATTTGGCACAGTGTTGAACATGTATTTTGTTGTCTACCTCGTTCTCTATGGCCACCTCTTATTTTTTGTATACTCAAAATTTTTCAATGACTCAATCAACTACTTAACATTGGTTATGATGATTTCGATGGAACCGAAGTTGAAAATTTTTCGTCTTTGAGTCATATATGAAAATTCTAAGTTTTTGTTTGATTTTAGAAAAGCTAACAAGGTAAATTCACCTTATTGTTTTTAAATACTTATCATTAAGAAGTTAAATCACTAATCTACTTAGAAATTGACTAGGAATTAAATGTATAATCTTGACATGTTTATTAACGGTGGTAGAAAATGACATTTGATAAATTTTTGCTGAAAAATTTAGAGCATGTTATTATGAGTATTGAAGATTTAAAACTCATCAGTGCTTTTCCATTTCTAACATACTCCTCCACTGCTCTTCTTTCTTCCTCCTGTAGGGTAGTGTCATCCTGATTTGATTGCAGTTCATCTTGGACCTTCTCTAATCTTCCCTGTGCTTCATAATACCTCCCTTCAATATCATTAAACTGACTTCTATTCAAGGCTCTCAGGGGGGATTTTAGCATCTTCAGTTTGGTTACCAGTTGAAATTGCTTTGTCCCAGTAACCTATGTCGCCCAAATCCTTTCCACAGTATCCTTAAAATCTTTCCCTTCTGTCCACATATTGTAGAACTTAAAGGGTTTCCTTCCTTTCACTTCTCTTGGAGCCCACTATAGTACCAGAGGAGAGTGGTCAGAAACCCCTGCATTTAACACATTGACATACGCTTCACTGTTTTCATTCATCCAATCATCAGACCCCAACATTCTGTCTAGTTTGCACCAAATTCTTCTATCTCCCGGTTGTTTGTTTGTCCATGTAAAGTGTCCCCCTTGGGTTCTAATTTCCTGTAGATGACAAGCATCTAACACCTGCTGAAACTCTTCCATTTCTTGAGCTTTAAACGGTTGCCCTCCTAACTTCTTGTCACTCTTGAGGATGCAATTAAAATCACCCCCAATGACCCATGGTTTGCCACTCCTTTGCAGTTGCATTAGTTCCAACCAAAGTATTGTTCTATCCCCTGGTGTATTTTTTGCATACACCACAGTCATCTCATACTCCCTTTGTTCCACTAGATCTTCAACCTGAGAATGGATAAATTGCTCCCCAATTCTGAGTACTTCTTCTTCAAATTCCCCCTTTTCCTACATCAACAACACTCTACCCTTCTGATTTAGTGCTGAGTTATCAACCCAGTCAAATTCCTTCCACCATCTCATCATCATCTCCTTACACCTTTCTTTATTTAATTTTGTTTCCACTACTCCTATAATTCTCACCTTGTGATTTCTAATAATATTGCCTAGCTCCTGATGTTTTAGAGGGCTGTTGAACCCTCTTATGTTCCAAATCATGATATTACTCATGAAAGATCAGGTCCTGGATCCATTGGTTCCTCAGCTTCACCCCCTTTCTTTCCAGTAAAGTTGTTGGCATTCTGTTTCCTCAGGACCATAACTATTCCCCCTACCCCTCTTGTTCTATTGCTGCTCTCTATCTCCCTTATCCCCTGATTGCTTTCTTTTTTCATTTTCTCCTTCTGAGCAATCTGTTTGCGTAACACCTGTGAATTCTCACTCTGCTTTGTAGTCATTGCATTTTCATCCTTCATTTTCTCCTTCCCTGTACTGTCATCCAGCTTCTGCTCCTCTTCAACTATGTTTTGAGGCTCCTCCACTCTATCATTTACCTCGCTAGGGTCAGGGTCTGCCTGTTTCCAGTTAGGTTTCATGGATGCTTTGCATTCCTTGCTTATTTGGCCATAGCCATTGTATTGGGTGCAAACAACTATTTATTGTAAGATTCATAAATTTTATTTTTTGTTTATGTTTTCCCTATTAGATTCCTCGAACAATTGTTCCATCTAATGTTGTGTTCAAACAATCCCTTCTGTTTCATACATAAAAGAAGTGTTTTGATAACATATGATTAAAGTTGACAGGAATGAGAATAACTTAATTTCAAACTGTTGTTCACTACGTGATTTGAGAAATAAAAATATTTTGACATTTTCCAATAATTATTTGCTAGTATCTATTTTTGTATCACTTTGTTTTTGCAATTCTCTGTTGTGTGTTGAAACTTGAAAGGATTCAAGAGATGGAGGTGGAATATTGGTCGCTGAACGAGTGGGATTGGGATTTTAGGGATTAGAAGAATAGATGACAATGACATTGGAAAAAAAAAAGGAGAAGACAGGTAAAAGAGAAAAAATGAGACCAAGGCCCAAAAAGGAAAAAAAATGTGGAGGCGCAGCATTTTTTTTTTTAACAAAACAACATTGTATCTGTCTTGGACGGAATACAACTTGACAGACAATGTACTCTCTCAACCATCGTTGATTTTTTTTTTTTTTTGTCTAAGGGATATTCATATTTAGAAAAAAAAAATATAACCAAATTGTTATTCCATATAGTTACAACCACAATAGTGGTAGCTACCCAACCTTTGATTGGACTATAAATCTGTCATCGTTAATTGTTCAATAGGTCATGGAATATGTCCACTATCATGATTCCCTTCATCACAGATTCGAGGATAACGGAGAAACCCACAAAGCCACCTTAGACAATAACACATCCAGTTTTTAGGGATGGGAGACCGACGGTTCCAACTACTTCTTCGGGTTTGCAGCTCATATAAAGTGTTTCACACCAAATTCAATTATGTATGGGCCAATGTTTTCCAAGCTATTAGATAAAAAGAAAGGTCACCAACTGTGAAGATTTTGGTTAAATTTGGACAAACTTGGGCGAAGGTCACCAACTGTGAAGATTTTGGTTAAATTTGGAGACGTAACAAAGAAACTTCTACTGACCAATGTTCATTCCACATAAATCGACTTTATGAGGTGAATTCTGGAGACAACAAAAGATTTTTCACTGACGGAATTTCAATCAAAATCTTATACTTGCTAATTCTATATCATTAAGTATATACAACGTAATTCCTTCTAATTTCATTTGTATAAATAATGCAACATAATTTATATTAAGTTAAACTTCAATTAGTGTGTTACAGATAAACAAGAGAGTATGTGCAATCTCGATAGAAATTATGCACGTGAAATCTTTAACAATATTGTACACTATGTGTACACTATTGTATTTAAAGCTCCATAGCTAAACCAACTTATCCAATTCAGCCAAAACCCATTGGTCCATCCAATGCTCCTGTTTATTTTTTATTTTTTTTTAAAGAAAGATAAATCATCCATCAGTTTCATTATACTTACCAGCATAATCATGAGGTTGCAATGCATCATCATTCTCATCGTACACAGCCAAGCTTTTACCAAAATGTTGAGTATCTTGTAGGCCAAAATTGTTGGGGCTTTTTCAATAGTATATTTGGTTAAGCCAATTTCAACCTATTTTCCGTTTGGGAAATCCTGCACTTTTAATTTCGAGTATCCAGCAGACTCTGAAAAATGACCAATAATGTAGACGACGTGGTTGATTCTGAAATCAAAGTCAGTCTCCTTAAATATCTCTTTAAATCCGTCCATACGTCTATGATAATGGCTAAATTGTTACATAAAAGCATCACAATTAACTTTGTATTTGATGAACAATTGGGGGTATTTCCTAACATTGGTGCAATTTACTTAGCTCATTTTCATGTTATTGTTAGGAAAGGACTGGACTGAATAATTGCTGAAAATTGGAAGCCAAAGGAGCAATTTATGAGCTACTGAGGCAAGGGTGCTGAGCTGGACGAAGAAGAAGGCCCTTAGACAAGAAGCATCTTGTCATTAATGACCTTGCCTCCTCCTAGAGGCATGCTTGTCCCCCAGCCGACATCCCAGCCACCACTGCTGATCAATGAGAGCAAAACGGCTACTGCTGGAAGAGAGAAAAGGAACGGCCAAGTTGGATTGCAGGCTCAAGACATTGGGAGGATTAAAAAACCCCAAGCATGGGGAGGTTCTCATGATGAAGACACCGGTTGCAAGGCACTATAAATGAGGGAGCTGCACTCTCACATTGGGGGGATCTATCTCTCAATCTCTGGTTACCCTTTTCAGTTGCTAAAAACACTCAGAAAAACTCCAGGTAGAAGGCAAGAAAGAAGAAGAAGTAGCAACAACTCAGAGAGGAAGCCAAGTTGAAGAATAGCAACCCAGTTTCTTCTTCAGTTCCACGAGTGAACCCCTTCACTCCCAGGAGTGACTCAGAAACTGCACAAGCTTTCTCCTCATCTCTTGACTGTTAGCTTGAACTTTGTTTATTATGCATACTTCTATGATGTCTTTCGATGTAGTAGATGTAGCATTAATCTGTATGAGTAGCTAAACAGTTCCCAAGGGTTATTCTCCTCAACTGATGTTGTAGTTGTCAAGCACTGGTTTTGTTCCTTGTTTTATGGTTGAAAGTTTTTCTACATTCATTTACTTGATCACTAAATTGAATGCACGCTAGAACTAAGGGAGATCTGGAATGATAAACTTGGTTTGGATTGTTTCAACTTTAACTTATGACATAGAGGTAACAGTCTATGGTTTTAACTAAGATAGGAATATACTTAGTTAACATAAGCATTCTCGAAGGCCTAAGAACTTAATGACTTTGTAGCTGAATCAATCATTGGAAAATAGGTTGTCAAGGTTGCAAAGATGACTCTAGGAAAAATGGGAACTGACTTAGAGTTATAAGTAAGCTGAATGAACAAGAACTCAACCATGACAGTGCTAATAAAACAACTACAACAGTAGGAAGAGGAGAAGAACACCCCTGGCCTCCATTCCCCCGAGTGACTATTTCATTCTCCTGAGTGACATCTTGTTGACTGACAGTTTTTCCTTACAACAAATTTGGGAAGTAGCTGTCCTCGTGGGATCGACCTAGCTTCCATTATCTACAAAATTCATAATCCAAGCTAGTAATATTTATCTTTATTTTTTTTTTGGTGAACTCGGCAAGCACCAGAAAGTGGCGCCGTTGCCGGGGATGGCGTAAAACCTCCAAAAATATGTTGTTTTTGTTTGTGTATATATATATATAAAATTCTTCTCTGGTTACCTCACTAAGCTTCTGGTTTCTTTTCTTTGGTGTATGACTAGAAGGCACCAACGAAGTGAACCTGTTTTTGACCCAGACATCGAAGCTACCATCCGTAGAACCAGAGCAGCAAGAAGAAGGCAGAACCGGTTGCAACAGGACAACAAAGAAGGTTCATCTGAGATGGCTAACCAAGGTGGCAATCCGGAGAACAATAGGAACCCTGGTGGGGATCAACAAAATCGACCAGAAAGACTGCTTAGAGATTTCTTCATCCCACAGCAAGAAGAAGTCCAATCTCCTCTAGTGTTCCCTGATGTAGAAGCAACCAATTTTGAGCTCAAGCCACGATGATCCAATGGACTCAATCACCGCCCATTCCATGGATTACCTCATGAAGATCCTAATGATCACATCCGAAGTTTCTGCGTTTATGCGGTACTTTTAAAATTCAAGGCTTATCTAATGATGACATTAGACGAGACTATTCCCTTTTACATTGCGGGATCACGCCAAGCATGGTTCAACACATTACCCAACAACTCCATTTCCACGTGGGAAGAGTTAAGGCAGTGTTTCCTAACAAAATTCTTTCCACCTGCAAAAGCTGCACAACTCAGAACAACAATAATGAATTTCAAGCAGCATGGAACAGAAACACTTTATGAAGCATGGGAAAGATTGAAAGAAATGGTCAGAAAATGCCCTCAGCATGGTTTGGAAGAGCATCTTCAACTGAGCATCTTCTACAATGGTGTGCTACCAACTACAAGAGACTCCCTTGATGCTGCAGCTGGTGGTGTATTTATGATGGAGCCGGTTGATGCAGCAAGGCAGTTGCTCGACAATATGACCACCAACCATTCAAGATGGCAATCTGATCTAAGGGCAAATACAAAACAGCCAGGGATGATGGAACTTGATCCCAGTACACATCTGCAAGCTCAAATGGCTGTTATGATGAACGAAATAACTAAGCTCAGAAGTGAGCTGTCCAAATCCAAGGCAGAAGTATGTGTATTATGTGATGGATCCCACAGTTTGGATGACTGCCCTTCCAAAATGGAAGCTGTCCAGTTTGTCAGACAGGGCAATGCATGGGGATTCAACAACTTCAACAATTGGAGAAATCAGCAACAGACCAACTGGAACAATGCTCCACAACAAGGAAACTATCAAAGGCCTGCTCAACCCCCAGGATTCCACAGACAAGATGGTCAGCTTCCCAACTATTAGAATCAGCAACGTTCTAACCAACAATACATACCAAGGGAAGATGAATGGATTTCTATACAAAATGCAATCAAGAGTTTGGCGGTGTCTTGTAAAAGTTTGGAAAATCAGTTGGCTCAGATTGCAAAACAAAATGCTGAAAGACCATCTGGGAGCCTGCCCAGTGACACAATTGTGAACCCCAAGGGGAATGATCAAGAGCAAGCGAAGGCTGTCACTCTCCGAAGTGGAAAGCAACTCAATCAGCCAAGTGAAGAAGTCACTCCTGCGAGTGACCCTACAGGTAAGAATGAAACTTCTTCTGAGCAATTATCTGATAATGATGACGTGGTTGAACAGGAGCAACCTGCTGAAAAACGTGGGATGAAAGAAATTCAATTTCCAGTACCGATTAAGGAACCACAAATGCCAGCTCCAACGCCACCATATCCAGTAAGACAAAAGAAAGCAAAAATGGATGAAGGACTCAACAGGTTTATTCAGAATTTAGAAAGTATAC